AAATGTCTTAAATTTAACTTGGTCAAACCTGTAGACACCCTGTTATCCCACCCTGAATATTGCCTTTGACTGGTCCAAGGAGGGAAAAACCATAAATTGTCTACAGAGTACTGGGTGACTAAGACTCGTTGATGGTAATGAAGGCTATCCTGTCTGATCCAAACCAACAGAAGGTCTACGGTGGCACAAATGGAAGATAATTTTAATGATGGCCAAAGGAGCAGTCTGTCAAGGCACAGAGGTGGCCTAAGGGGCTACATAGCTGCAGGACAGTCACAGTGTCCATACTGACCCCTGGCCACTATCGAAAGTGCCTACAATGGACAAAGAAAACAAGTGTCGAAACAGGACCTTGCTGGACCAACAAGCCTGGTCAGCAGCTTTGCAGCCCCATACGCAGCAGGGTTTGTTATGACACATTGCTCCCATTATCATCTTTAAAATTACCTGCCATTTGTGCCCCAGTAGCCCTTCTGTTAGTTCATACTTGGTTGCCCAACACCCTGTTGGTGGATGGTGGTGTTTCCCTCCTCAGAGAACTCTCAGTTGGCATACACCACGGCCAACCACAAATAGCCCACAAGCCTTGCCATTTCAGAGATACTCTGAGGTAGATGAGGGACAACTGGGAGGAAGCAGGGTGCTGGGTTGTGCGATATAACAGTATGTACATGTGTGACAGTGGTCAAAATGTCTTGGCTCATCGACGTACAGTGTCCTCCACAGTTATTGGGTACTTGGATTTTTTTCTCATTTTTATCAGTGCGAGATGAAGCTCCTTCACTAAAAGGTGGATTTTTTCTAACCCTTTTTATAAATCTTTACAAGGGGTGCCAATAATTGTGGAGGGCACTGTATATGCAGTAAATTCACGCGAGTGAATGGGGTGGCGTAAGAACTTGCATGAATGTAAGACACTAAGCGGAAGGAATTATTTGCTCTTCAAAGGAGACTAGTCTTGAAAGGTCCTGGTCACTCCAGAAGTGAAAGGAACAGGAGATGGATGACTCTAATTACACTAATAGTTGTCATGAGTCATTAATTACACTGCTGATTATTCCTAAATAGAAAAGTAAAAATAAAATACTTAGCACTGGTCAGAAATGGTTGATAGCCGAGTGAACTGGACAGACTTTTTTGCTTTCTTGTGCAAATGTATCCTAAATATGGAGACCATAATACAAATGCAGCTGGGGGGGGGGATGCATTTATGCTGCTATTTTGATGTCATTAACAAATAGAAATTTGCCAAAGTCAAAAATAAAGATGACGGCAGTGACAATAAGATGGGTGAGAACACCTGCACCCTGAATGTAGTTCATTCGCAGAGGGACTGTTGAGGGACTGTTGAGGGACTGTTGAGGGACATTTCCTTGAACAAGACATGTAATCTGAGGTACTCCAGTAAAAAAAAAAATTACTGTATTGTTCAATCTTGGTTCATCAACTGCTGAGCACAGTTTAAAACAAGCAACAAACTGAAACAGGACCTTAGATTCTTTAAAACACTATCATCCCTAGACTCTGGCTCGACTGCTTTATTCAGCATCCTTGGGCGTGCTTGGGGGTTCAGTCCACTCTGGGAAGCTTTCCAGATAAAGTGGTACCTCGGAACTCGAACTTAACCTGTTCAGAACTCCGGATCTAATCCTAAAAAGTTCGAGTTCTGATCGAATTTGCCCCATAAGAAATAATGGAAAACCAATTAATTGGTTCATGGCCCCAAAAAACACAGAAATATGTTTTTTTTTAGCATTTAAACACAAAATGAACCGGATAAAACAAGAAGAGCATATACTGTACTAAACACATCTAAGTACATTTATCAAAACAGTAATTTTTAAATTAAGAAAATAAATGTATTCAAACAATGTGTCCTGCCCCGATCGTCTGCTCCTTACGTGTGCCACGCCCTCTCGTTAACCTCGTGTGGAATCCCCGTGTGATCAGCTGTTTCTGGTTGTTGTCATTAGTCCTCTGTATTTAGTCCGCATTTCAATTTGTTTCCCCAGTCCGGCCGTCTGCATTTTGCCTGCCTTACCTGTAATTAAACCCCCTATTCCCGATACCTTGACGTCTGCGCATTTGTCTCCGTTCTGGCCCCGATGGGCACAACAATATTATTATAATTAAATGTATTAATGGTTTATTATTAATATTAAAATAATTAATAAGAAATCTTTATTTTAAAATGTATTTTATTATATAATTACTGTTACTGTCTATCATTGTCTAAATGTATTTTACTGTCTAAATATATGTATTCAGCTAGTGTAAACATGCGCGATGCTATCACAGCGAATGCGAGGCTGAGACTGAAGCTTTACCCTTTGTTTCCGCTAAGAGATGTGCAGCGTGACTCATTTCCCCGCGCCTACAAGTTCTTAGGCCGGCGTTCACAGTTTGACTTCTGAGATTCAGATTGAGTTCTAAGTTTTTTGGGTTTTTTTTGGAACTAGTAGGTTCGACTTTTAAGAAATTCGCGTTATAATGAGTTCGAGAACTGAGGTACAACTGTAGTCCCAAGGGGTGGAATAAATTTCAGTTTATATTGCATAATACAGAAAAGGTTACACACTAAGAATTAGCAATGCTATATTGCACCTCTGTTCTCATGTAAACTAGCCTGAGTTAACTTATCAATAAATCGAAACATAGCAATATGATGTTGCCGATTCAGTTTCACAGAAGTGCCATGTTTGCTCTAGATTAAGCATAATGGACCATTTCTACACATAAAAATCTGCTGCAATTCAACATAGTAAAGAGGTTATGAAAAATTGAGAGAAGAATACATGTACACTGCATTTTGCTTTATTGGTTCATAAAAATTTCTAAAGGTATTTCTTAACATCAACTGCTGAAGATGCGTACGCTGTAAATGTAAAGGAAGCTTAATGGCCGCATGACGTTTTATCCGCGTAATTTATGTTATCCGGGGAAAATTAGTCTCTGCTGAAGTACGTGACCTTATTGAAGGGAAAAGAAATTTACTTAATTGTAGTTTTTCAGAACTCAAAACTGTTATTATAATAACCTTACGTGATGGATGCATGAAGGCACCTATAACTGCTTCATTTGTATTCGTTAGAACAACATTTGCCATTCACTATACCAATCTTGAGTTTTGCCCACCGAGCAATAACAATGTTTGCTCATCTCAGTTACTTCCCTCGTTTGCAGAAACATTAAATACGCAACATCATACAATACTGCAGTAGGCCTATATGGGTGTTATACACACAAACATATTTCTTTTACGAATAAGGTCGAAGGCTTGGTAGAATTAATATTCCAGTTCCCCAATCACTGCGCCACCTGCCTGATGCAGCCTTGCACCCACCTGTAGCACGGTCTTGGCGGTGACCGTGGACACGACGGTAGTGCAGATCTTCTCCCCGTCGATGCTGATCTGACCCATCGTCAGAAGCATCGGTGTTGCCAGCAGAAACGACGCCGCCCACACTCCACTGATGAGCTTCTTCGTACGACTGCGGGACATGATGCTTTTCGCTTTGAAAGGGTGGCATATTGCCATGTAGCGTTCCGTGCTGAGGCTGGCGATGTTAAACGCCGTGGCGTAGGAGCAGCCGTCCCGGATGAAGTAATAACCTTTGCAAACGGCATCGCCGAACGCCCACGGGTGATGTACCCAGATGAAGTTGTAGAGCTCGATGGGCATGCTGACCAACAAAATAAACAGATCGGAAATGGCCAAACTGGCCAGGTGGTAATGCACTGTGCTCTGCAGGTTTCGCCAGGTCCGTCTTTTCAGCAGCGTGTATAATGTAACCGAGTTGCCCAGACAGCCGACCAGAAACAGCACCAAGTATATGACGGTGACCAGCACCTTGGAGAACAGGAGCGTGTTCACGTCCAAACTGCTCTCGAGTTCGGGCTTGGTGCCGTTCGGCTGGGAACGATTAGCGGACACCTGAAGCTGTCGGGATAAATTTCGGAAATCCGAGCTGAATGTGCTTTGCGCGGACGACACGCTGTCATTTGGATCCATCTGCAAGTCAGTAAAGATGCAGGATCCGAGCGGCCGCCCTTCGACTTCATTACCGGCTTTCTGAGACCAGTGGTGAAGCGGCTTTTATATCCTACCGAGTAGGCGTGTGCTTTACAGGGGTAAACTTGGCATAATTTAAAAATTATTGAACGCTTTGAACATGCACCCAGAATGGCAAGGTGTATAGGTCTCGGTACAATGTAAGAAAATAAAAAGATAAACATCTTCAAACGGTTCGCTGTTGTTGGAAAATATAGATATATTTTGTGTTTTTGTAGAACGAATGGGACCTTTTTGAATAAATATAATGAATTAATCAATATTCATTTGATTATTTATTGTATACATTTAACCAGGGTCGTCGTTAGGCTTATTTTAGTGGGCTTTAGCCCCCCAACCAAATAAATGTACACTAATTACTTTAAATAATGTGGGCCATTTCCATTAGACCCCCCTAATATATAAAGGATTAGCTCCCCATTTCATAAATCTCTAGTGACGCTCATGCATTTAACCGAATAGTTCGGAGTCATTGCTGGCTTTTCACAATGTTTTAGATGCAGGGATGAAATGGCCGTAGGGTGACATGCAGCCTTCCATAGATCCTTCTGGCTTTACAGTTTTTTTTTTAAATGCACTGAATGAAGGCGGAGGTATTAATACTTATTTGAATGTAAGAAGCTGAAGAGGAATTGTTTGATGCTGAAAGACTGATATTCCGGTTGATAGATAGTTGATGTTGTTTGATGTATACTCTAAGATCTCCGTCACATAAATGGAACAGGAGGCAGATGATTCTAATTGATCTAATAGTTGTCATGAGTCAATAATTACACTGAGGGTTACAGGCGGACCGGTATGCATTGCACCGGACTGTACATAGTGTAAGTACATGCAGGGCCGCTGCTGGCCAAATGGGTGCCCTAAGCAGAAATTTACTTTTGTGCCCCCTCCCCCAAATATTACGGAAGTAAAAATAAAATAATAAAAAAAAACACCTACTATTGGGGCCAAAATAGAACTTTATTCAAATAAAAGTAAATACATAAATAAATTGTATCATTTATAAATTACAATTGTAGCTCTACAGCAAAAAATACAAACTAAAATTACACTTTAAATAAAACATTTATAATAAATAAAATAAACAATAATAAACTGAAATAAAATCAACACTGTCATCTGCTGGAGCTTCCCAAAGTTCAAAATTTACAAAGGCACACTTCTGCTTTTTCTTGAGGCAAAGTCGTAAATGAGCTCTTCATATGATAAAGCCTTTGCTAATTCAGAGTTGATGCTGACAATTGCCAGACCACTCATGCGCTCTTGTGCCATAGATGAGCGCAAGTACGTTTTGATGAGCTTCATTTTAGAAAAACTTCGCTCAGCAGAGGCAACAGTTACAGGGAGCGTCACTGCTATGCGCAGAGCAATCCAGAGATTTGGGTACAACTTGTATATTTTAGTTTATTTGTATATGTATATAATTAATATTAATTTATTATTATAATATATAAAAACGATTTTTTTGAGCAGCTGGGATGGTGCCCCCCTGGGAGTTGGTGCCCTACGCAGACTGCGTACTCTGCGTATAGGGAGCAGCGGTACTGAGTACATGTGTAAATAACGTCCGTGATATAGAGTTATGTCAGTGACATAAGTGTCGGGTTCTCTTGAAATGCCGAAAATAGTGTTCCCCTATTGCGGTGGGTTTGTAATCCCGCGATGTATTTCGATGCATATACTAATGACTTCGGCTGTCCGTGACATTGCTGGTACTTTCTCTGCCAGTTCGTTCAAATAAAAATGGAAACTGTCATCTGCGTTTCTGCATATTTATCAGGATATTCACTACGCTGACATTGCAACAATGTTTAACACTGGTTAGAAATGGTTAATAGCGGAGAGAGCTGGGTAGACTTCATTGCATGTACTGTATGTCTCTCGCGCTAATGGGTCGATAGATGTGGCGTTTCATTTTGCAGGAATGTGTGGGGGATTTAGGTTGAAATTTGGTTTTCATTAACAAACTGAAATTGTCAATGTAAAAAAATACGAATAAAAACATAACTATGACTGCCGTTACAACATGGTAAGTGAGATCAGCTGCAGCCTGAATGTAGTTCATTCCCAGAAGGACTGTGATGCTTCCTGTGATGCTTCCTGTTCAAGACAGGTAATCTGAGGTAGTCCAGTAAAATAAATAAAAAACTGTACTGATGCGTGAAATTGCCAATATCTCTGGATGAACTGACAGACTTGGTCCCCATCATCGTGGTTTAGCACAGTCAAGCAACAAATTGCTAGGGACCTTTTCCTTAAAAACACTATCATCCCCAGACTCTATAACCTGCGTTGTTCAGCATCCTTGGAGGTGCCTAGAGATTCTGTCCACCTGTGAACCTTATTCCAGTGACTCCCTAAGGTCTGCTACTTCCATGGGCCAGAACAAAGAATATTGAAGGTGATCCTTCTCCCAGAGTGAAAAATATTGAAGCCAAATGGAATTTCCTGGGCTGATATTTGCTTACAGTCCATTCTTGTACCCTGATAAAAATGCAAGAAACAGGTTTTTAAATGTCAGCACCTCTTCATGTTTTGGCGCATGGAAGTAATATTTGAATAATACTTGCAGTTTCCAACCTCTGTAGACAAATGTAATACAGAAATCCAAGCAAACCTTCACTGAAGCCTTGAAATATCAGATTTGTGTTAATTCTTTACACTTGGAAAAATAGTACCAATTTGTACCTTTGAGGGTACAATTACTTATCACTGGGGCTGCACCCTACGGTCTGCCAGTTGTACCTTAGCTGTATAGTGTTTCAGGCACTTTGTCTCCCTGGTCCTGATGTTTCTGCATTCAAAGTGCACATGTGTAGGTTTTGTGGATATTAATAGATAGGTGGCATTTTTGCCAGTGTCCCTCAACTTTGTGGCCCTAAATCCATGCAATCTTTTGAAGAGTGAGATCACGTATGCCTACCATACCTTATCGAATGGGTTCAAAGGTTTTAGCGCTGTGATACTGTCATTGATGTTGTTTCCTCGTGTTGCCTAGACCCCTCTTCTTTCTCTCGTCCCGTTCTGATCTCTTCTGATCATGTTCATTTCCAGCTGTTGATAATTTGAGTTTAATAAAAACCCCTTTTGTTTGTTATCACGTCTGCCTCTGCCTCCTTTGTCCTGCCCAATGTGACAGAATGGCAGGACTTGTGGATATTCCCGGGACCCTCTTTTAGTCTGGGGGTCTGCTTGCATGCTTTCCCCTGCACCCAACCTCCTACCTCCGCCTGTGCCTCCAGTCCACACTCCTTAGTGGTTGATGGACAACCCGTTGATTGATCCACTGAGTGATAGTGACCTGGAGGAGCCTGAGGAGGACGAAGGCCGTGGAGAGTTTCCCGGCATGCAGGTCGCCCCTCTGGTATGGACGCCTTACCGAGCTTCTGGCTGCGACACGGACGACCTACCCACACTGCTCCCTCTGGAACCCCATGTCTCTGAGATGGTCTGGCTTGCTGGGACTCCACTGCATAAAGCTGCTCAGCACACCGCTTCCCTACAGTGTGGCTCCCTGAAGCTCACTGCCGATTTGCCCACTGGCTCCCCGAAGCTCACTGCCGATTTGCCCACTGGCTCCCTGAAGCTCACTGCCGATTTGCCCACTGGCTCCCCGAAGCTCACTGGCGATTTGCCCGCTGGCTTCCCGAAGCTCACTGGCGATTTGCCCACTGGCTCCCCGAAGCTCACTGCCGATTTGCCCACTGGCTCCCCGAAGCTCACTGGCGATTTGCCCACTGGCTTCCCGAAGTTTGCCGCAGATGTGACTGCTGGCTCCCCAAAGCTTGCCACCAATTTGCTTTCTAGCTCATGGCCACTCCACCCGCCATCTCCAGATGCCAAAAGAGGAGACAGAAGAAGCGTGTTGACCCCGCACCTGAAACCTTCTTGCTGGACTCAGTTCAGCCAGTGCCTGGACCAAGAGAAGTCGCCTCCATGCTTCCATCACCCGACCCAGGAGAAGAAAGAGTTGCACCCCACACTTCCTCTGCCCAAGTCCCAGGCTTCTGGCCCACAGAGGGCCGCTTTGCCCGAGACTCAGGGTCCTGGCCCCTGAAGGGTTGCCTCGCCTGTATTGACCCCACTGCAGCAGTGCCGCCCCGCTCTCCTCCTGGTGTCCTGGCCACGCCCCGCTCTCCTCCTGGTGTCTCAGCCTCACCCCACTCACCTGCTGGTGTTCTTCTGGCTTTGTATCCTGGACTGTCATAGCTAACAAGTCACTTTATGCTTTTTTACCTACTCATTCTCATTGCACGTCTTTTTTAATTGTTGATATACTGCTCTCCATTTTTGTCTACTGTCATCAGTCTGGTCTTACTCTTATTTTTATTCAAATCTTATTTACTCTTTTCTAATTAAACTGTTTTACTTTTTCTCTTTGTATTGCATATTTCATCAAGCCCGATACAAGAAGTATTTCAAAAGTATTTCACTGCACAGTAATATGGTTTATGATTGTGTATGTGACAAACAAAACTTGAAACTTGAACTAGTGTTGTAGTCAAGACCGCCTAAACCGAGACCAAGACATTGCCGAGACCGGAGGGTATCAAGACCAAGACACTGCCGAGACTTGAGGGTACCAAGACCAAGACCAAGTCCAAGACCAAGACCAAGACACACTAAGGCGAGACCAAGACCAAGACTGGTCGAGACCAAGACCAAGACCAAGACCGAAAACAGACTAGGGCTAGAATCGACATCACATTACCCAGATCAACTGTAGAGAAAAAAGGCATTGCTGTAAAGTGTCATTACTCGTTAAATCAAATTCATGTTATCTTTTCAATTATATTGTCCGTATGTCCATATGTCTCTCATTTAAAATCTCCCAGATTTGTCATAGTTATGAGACCAGATAGAAAATAATATTCTCAGCAATCCTCTCCTATAACCATTTTATCAGACCTCGTCAAGGGAAAGAGATGGGATGTACCAGAAAGATGTTCATATTAAGTCTCTTATACCAGGGACAGAGGCCTCGGGTAAGCTATGAATACAGCTATGTAATGATCCTTTGCTTTGAATTGAAGAGAATGAGCCTCCAGATTGACTTGCACCTCCAAGACCGTGCTTTCTAATCAATGTAAAATACCTAATTTATTTGAATTATAACTATGCTATAGACTTCGCGGACATTTTCGGACATTTTTTTGCCGATGTATGATACGATGTGTATGATGTGTGTGGACTGTGAAGCACTGGCAGTGTCCGTGGAGAAAATGTATAAAATGTAACGTTTTTGAAATGGATGCATCTGACTGGTTGCATTTGAATTGAGGCGCGTAATAAATAATGATACTGTTCTGTGAGGATGTGCAGTTTTCTCTTTTTTTCCCCATCCCATCGAGACCGCTATGTCCGAGACCAAGACAAGACCGAGACCAAATAGAGTCGAGACCAAGACAAGACCGAGACCACAAAAAATTGGTCTCGAGACCGGTCTCGAGACCAAGACCGGTCTCGAGAACTACAACACTAACTTGAACACACACATTTGTGATCTCTCGCATTCAATGCTTCATCTTCAGACAAACAAAACCTCACATGTATGCACTTGGGTTACCCCATTGTGCCTCAGTTTTGTTCCCCGGTTTCTGTTCTTGTTCTTGTGTGTACAGTTTCTCTGCAGGATTTTACCATTTTCATATGCATGCATTTGTATGTGTGGAAGTGTGTGTCTGTATGCTTATATGTGTACATCTGGGTGTGCTGCATGTGTGGCAGCCCTGTGGTGATGCATTTGCCCAGCAGATGGGTGGTACGGCAGGCCTGTCCACTCGCACTCACCCATTCACACCCACACACAGTAAGACGTGACAAATAGGCACATACTCATTCACGCACACATGCACGCACGCACGCACACACGCACACACACAAACTCGCACATTGACAGTTTTACACAGTGTATTGTTCCTTCCTCTGTCCTGCTGCTGTAACTGCACTTCACTATAGCACCAGGCTAGATCACCAGTCTCTGCCTGACATGCCACAATACTTAGCTGCTCTGTGTTGCTAGCCCAAACTGAGTGGGCAAGCCCCCCGGTTTACAAATAGCTACATGATTTGCACATTGTTGTGTGTGAGTGCATCTCCCTGCTTGGTCTGCATTTTAACTTTCAGTTCTTTCAGTCATACAATCATTAACTTTAATACAGTGCTTTCTAAAAGCCTGGAGCACATTCAGCGGCCTGGTTTCCTTTCTGCCCTGACCCTACCCAGCCAGCAGCATGACTCTCTCGACTTAACTTCGGAATGCTGCCATGCTTGTGTTTAGTCACGCTGCCCCCCAACACCACACAGGAAGTGGTCTGCATACCCTTTGAGCAGCACAGGGAAATGATGAAGAAGTTTGCTTGTAGGGTAGAGCAACACCTTTCTACTAAGTCCTGTAAAGCACTCACACGGGCATTCTAAGAAGCACTAAACCACGTGCAACGGGAAAAGCGGGGTGATCAGACCCAGGACAGTAAGGCACACAAGCGGTGGGATATACAGTAACTAGAGATACACGAGGATGGGACAGAGTTCACAGAAGACATGGGAAAGTATACATGCCACAATAGGAAATACATTGTGTTCACAGATAGAACACAGCCTTATTTAGTCTTCAATGACATGACACACTCATAATAATATCAGGCCATCTCACTGTCTCTGTGAGAATAAGAGAGTCTAGTGTTTATGCAGATAAATCTAATTCTAAGGACAATATAAATGTTAATGAAGTCTGCAGATGCTTAGGAGCATCAGGGAAGGCAGCAGGTCCACAGTTTTGTACTGAACACAGGTACCGAGTTCTGGATTGGCAATGGGGAAGCAGCATTTCTGATACCTGAACCTGGAACCTGCTGGCAAAGTGCATTCTGTAGCCCTGTGTGTCACTGATTTACTGCAACAAACAGAGGATAGAAGAGACGGAGAGAGGGAGAGATATCGTAGGGATACAAGCTGAAATGCCACTCAAGCAGTGCCAGTCAACCCGTTATGCCACATGGACGGCCGCCATCTTCTGAAGGAGC